GAATACCTCATTATGCTAACTATAAAGGAGAAACAAGTTTAAAATAATTTTCTTTATGTTTAGTTATCTTAACGAATTAATTTACCTTTACGCATGTTTACTCATATAGCCTTTTTATATAACTGAAATTAACTAAAAAATCCATTTCAGTGAAGCTAACGTCCTTACAATTATGTACTTAAATTTCCTCTTGTTTTTATTTCTTATAATATGTGATTTTCGAAAATGGTATAAGTTCATTTGGAGTAAAAATTCTTTTTTTTAAATAATTTTAATAATTATTATTACGTAATAAACTTTAAAAGGTTATAGAGAGTTAAAAAAACTCTCGAATTGATTAATGGTTGCTAATATTTTTAAATTAACATAAATGCAACTCTGAAATATCTCGATACATGAAAAATGGATTTATACCACTTTCAAATATAATAGCTCAAATTATTTTTTTAGAAAAATTGATATCATCTTTTAAAAATGCGAGGTACAAATAATTTTTGTTTGTTTTAACGGAGGTTCGCAACCTAAGGTTATCAACCCTCACGGTCGTTGAAAAAACCTCATTTGTAAGTATTTAACCTTTGCGGCCACCAACGCCCCTATAACTAATTGAAAAGTACAAATTCAAGAAATAAATAACAGGTATTTCATTTTTACATTTTAAGAGATCATTAAAAAACACTCATACACATACCTGGACAATATTTTTAGGGTTTCTACTAGAAAATACGGCAAATGTAAATTAAAAACAGCGGGGTTTCAACTTTCTACATATTTGGAAGAAAATAGGTCGAATTGTACAATACTGGCTAAGTGCAGAATGTATATAGAAGCAGACAAATGTCTACTAGGGATACGAGAAAGTCTGCGGGTAGGAGGCGAGTTAACGCTACGGGGGTACAAATTTCCTCAAAAATTTATAGACGTTAAGAAATACCAAGAAGAGTTACAGTATATAAAAAATTCTAAAAAATATATTCAGAATTCGCCAACACGGGAAACTTTCTCCGCCGACTTTTATATTTCAAGTATAAAAGTTTTGTTAACATATAAAAGATATTCAGTTAAATAAAACATCCGAAGCACTATGACAAAGATCATGATGTAGCATGTTTTTGTAATCTTGGCCTGAATTCACAAGGTCATCTGACTATTACGAATCCTTTTTAAGGAAAACCTTCGAAGTGACAGAAGAGAAATGTTTCTTCGAAAAACTGCCACCATAATTTTTGAAACTTTATTTAATAATTTACGAGGTTAATAATATGAATATCTATTTACAATATTGAAACCAACGGTTGACTCTTACATTCAAGTACGACTATGTTAATTTTCTTCTCTGTGTTAAAGTCGAAACGTTTCATGACGTGAGTGTGAAAATTAAAAGCGCGACGACACTATCACGGGAGTTGGTCTGCTAACCTTTGTACCAGAGTGCTATTTAGAAAAAATATTTTGAAGGTTACGAGATAAGAAACGAAAGATAACTAAATTATTTGCCTTATTTGGTCATGCCTTTTTGGTCATCATTGGAATTTTTTTAAAAATCGATCAATCATTCGTAATCACGAACAAGAATTCTCAAAATAACGGTTATTTTGTTTAGTGTGTTAAAATTGATAAGTTTTGAACGAAAGTGTACGTTTTCAATACTAGCACGCATTTATTACAGTATTCAATAAATACTTTTAAGGTAGACTTACACTGAAATGTGTAAAAAAAATCTAAATGAAAAAAAAAACAGTTTAGATTCAGCAAATAGGCATTAAAAAAGATTTCATCAGAATAAAATTTAATACAATCTAACAACTTTCAAGAAGCAATCATTGAATAGATAATTTTGGATTTTCAGTTTTGGGCTACTACTACTAATATAACAGATTGAAAAATCAACCAATCTTTCCTAATCGCAAAAAGAAAAACTGTACTTTTTGGGTTTTGTGTGTTAAAATTAACAGGGTTTGTGACGAAAATGTACATTTACGAAAATAGCACGATACTATTTAGTTTAAGGTGATAATTCCACTGAAACTACCTACTTTTGCAATTCATTTCGGTAGACGTGGTTGTAGAACTCATTCAAACTGATGATGAGCTAAAAGCTCGAAATCCGGCCGTAGATAAACAACTTACTGTGAGTAGGAACTAAACTTTAAAAGGGTTCCACTGAAATGTTCACCAAAGTATCGAAATGAAAGCAACAATTGAAATGTTAGAAAAGAATCCTAAAAAAGGTAATTAAAGAATATAAAACTGAATATCATCAAACGAATTCAAACAAGGTTTTTTTAAACAGATAATCGTGCAATTTTGGGTTTTTAGTTATATTTGACATCTTTACAATTTAAAAAAATCAATCAATCTTTCTTAATCGCAACAAGAAGTCACAAAACTACTTTTTGTGTTTTATGTTAAAATTGTCAGTATATGTGACAAGAACGTACATTTTCGAAAGTAGCTTGGTTCTATTTATTTAATACTTTCAAGGTGACATCTCCACTGAAATGTTCACAAAAATATCTAAATGAAAGGAATAATTAAATGTTAGGAAAGAAATCTGAAAAAAGGTAATTAAAGAAGGATAAAATTGAATATCATCAAACGTCTTCCAACAAGATACTTTTAAACAGATAATCTAGCAATTTCGAGTTATCTTTGACAATTTTACAATGTAAATAAATCAATCAATCGTTCTTAATTCAAACAAGACATTAAAAACTGTGTTTTAAAAGTGAGAGGTTTGACGCGGAAGTGTACATTTTCGGAAGTATTACTCGAAATTTAGTAAATAAGTTTAACGTTTGGTTTCCATTGAAACAAAACATCTAAAAGAACAGAACAATTTAGATTCATAAAATAATCATTAAAAAGGTGGTTACATCAAGATAATATTCATTATCATCAAACGATTTTCAACAATGCCCTATCAAACAAAAAAAGTTGTGTTTTTGTCTATCTTTGGAATTTAATAAAATATTATTAATAAAAAAATCGTTCTTAATCAGGAACAAAAAGCCATAAAACTCAGCTTTTTTGTTTAGTGATTTGACGAAAGAATACATTTTCGGAAGTAATACTCGGCCCTAGCTCTTTAGCATTAGCAACTCAGGTCACTATTTAGTAAATAACTTCAAGGTTAGGCTTCCATTGAAATGTTAACAAAATGTCTAAAAAGAACATTTTAGGTTCAGAAAATAAGGACAAAACAGATGATTACATCAGGATAAACTCAAATACCATCCAACAACTTCCAACAAAAAATCGATCAATCATTCTTAATAAATTATAAGACGTCACAAAACTGTGCTAATTATGTTTTGTGTGAAAAGTGAGAGTTTTTGTGACGGAGGTGTACATTTGTGGAAGTATTACTCGACACTAGCACCTACTCGGGGCACGATTTAGTAAGTAACTTTAAGGTTACGCTTTCATTAAAATGTTAACACCACATCTAAAAAAGATTAATTTAGGTTTGAGGTTACATCAGGATAAAAATCATTATCTCCAAACGTTTTCCCACAATGCACTATCAAACAGACAAGGAAGAGAATTTGGGGTTTTCGTTATCTGTTAAATTTAAAAAAAATATCAATCGTTCTAAATCGCGAACAAGTCATAAAACTGTTTTTTTAATGCTAAAATTGATAGATTTTTGACAAAGAGTACATTTTCAGAAGTAATACTCCATAGTACTAGCAACTCAGGACACTATTTATTAAATAAATTCAAGGTTCCATTGAATTGTTAACAAAATGTCTAAAAAAAAGAAAAATCTAGATTAAGAAAATAAGCATAAAACAGAGCGTTACATCAGGATGATTAAGTACCACCAACAACCAACTTTTAGACAGCTAATCTGGCAATTCTGCTTTTTATTTAACTTTGAAATTGAAACAACATCGATCTCTTGTTCTCAATGAGTAACAAGAAGTTATAAAACTGTGATAAATCTTTTTAGTGTTTTAAAATTAAGAGGTCTTGCGACGGAATCGCACATTTTCTAAACTTACAACTAGCACGGTCTATTCAATAAATAATTGTAATGTTAGACTGGTGTTGAAATGATCACAAAAAATCTGAAAGAAAGGTAGTAAATTCCAGTATCATCCAACAAGGCAAACAAGGCACTTTTAAGCACATAACCTAGCAATTCTGTATTTTTGTTTTACTTTGTAATTGAAAAAAATAAAAAATAACGATCAATCGTTCTTACGAAAAACGTACGAGGCAGTCGAAAACCTAGAAATAACTTTTCTGTAGCATATTTTGTAGATGGAAATATTTCGAGTGGTCGTTCACTTATTTTTGTCCCTAATGACACAATACCATATTTATATTGTGCATATAATATTTTTTTATTCAATTATAAGCAGTAAGTATATAACGGATATACTTGTTTAAACAAGTGGGACAAATTAATTAACAAGTTTAACGAAAATGTCTTACGGTTAGGTTTAAAGTTTCTAATCGATTTTAACGACTTAACGATTGTTCAAGCATAAATTTCATTTGTTGGAAAAGAACCACGTTTAACGTTCGTCATGTCGTAAAAGTGATTTTCTCTTTAAGAAGGGGAAAGTTGTCATCTGGCCATCATCTGGCGAAAAAAATTCGATGCAATTTCAAAACTGTTATTGAATGGATTAGCAGACATGACGTGTCGATTCATGAAGAACACCCGAGAGATTTGTTTTGAGCTCGAAACCTCCCGTGCCATATGGTCGTCCTACTAAACATATATCATACTTTTACATTCTGACATTTGAAAGGCAATAAGTCCTTTTTTTGAGTGTGTCCCTTTTAATATTCAGATGCGAGAAATCGGGGAAAGATGTATTCTTGGGTATTCTAATTCCCGGTGAGTTATTTTCGAAATAGACGCCGAATCTGTTTATAAATAGCGGAATGAAAGCTAACGGAATTCTTATGTTTAAAACACGAACATTATAAGGAAGGTTGATTTTCATAAATAGTAATAAAGAATTTTAAAATAAAACCTTTACCTTATCCTTGCGCTGCTTCTCGCCCCATCACCGCTCGTCTCAACAATCTGAAACAATAAAAGAAATTTATATTTTTAAGCAGCCTAAGTGTTTTTGGTCATACTTGATACACTTTACAATAGAATTCTTTAAATATTGGTTAAGAGTTTTCTTAATTTTTTCAATTAATTAAATTTTTTAGTTGAGATAAAAAAAGTCAATGTCACGAGCGGGATTCGAACCTCGGCTAGATAAGCCTCTTCTCTACTTCCTGAGCTATCGTGACTTCGATCTATTCGGACACTAACTTCCCATCTCAACCCCACCTTTTGAATTTTCCCTCCTTTTTGCCATTTTTCTTCTTAGTATTCTTAATATTATCATGAAGAACTGGGGAATCTGTTTTTTAATTATTCAAATAATTAAAAATCAGGAGTACCCCATTGCTTTCTTTTCGGTCCCTTATTATTTCTGATTTTTATTGTTGCTGAAGTTACTGGAGTATTCTGCATAATTAAACTGTTTATTATTTTGACGATAAAGTGGGTTGCCATGTAATTGGCTGAAAATGAAGGCCCAATAATACATCAAACCCCCTTTTTAATTGACTTTGATTGATGCATAAATAATAGTCTTAAACTTGTAATAATTGCTTTACTTTCTATATCCAAAAAGAAATTTATTTCGTTCTATATTTGTAATAAATTGTATTTTTTAATTGTAACTTTGACTCGTGTCCCAATTTTGCAAACATGTAACATATTACTAATGAGTAATGAGTGAAATAAATTGTTTGAATTTCTAATGTTCAAGTTGCTATAAACAGATTTTTCATATTTTTACAGTATATTCCGCTCCATGATCATGGAGGTGGTACCCAAAAAAATTCTGTGCCAAAACTTGAATAAATGTCAGATAGTTCGACTAAAAAGTTGATCTCAAGTTTGAAGCAGTTTTGTCTTCATGTCGAGACTTCGGATCACGTCATGACTTTTCAAATTGAAACATAACCAGAAACAACTCAATTTGTATTGTATAAAATCATTAAAAACAAAAATGAGCCTCAAGTGGACCTGTAGTTTGATGCTAAAGTTGTTAAAATATTATCATGCATTAATGTCTCTTGTAGTTTTATCTGTTAAAATATATAAAAATACAAATTTGAGAGAAAATTGCACGTTTTACATTTGCAAAACTAAAACGATCATCTACCTTAAGCCTCGGATTACCAGATAAAGTGGTAGTTTAAGCACAAAAGTTAAGGATTACTGAAATCCCTATTAAAAAATGCATATTAGAGAGAAAATCCTTATATTGTCTAAGAAATGGGAATTGCTGTATTTAGCAAAATTAAAATGTTTGCCATCGATTACCAGGCAATAATATGCGTAAACTTTGGCACATGGTTTTAGACATTTATGCTTTATACATTTAAGACGCCGCAGCATAATAATGACGCTGATTATGAACGAATATACGAGAGAAAATGCTAGTTATATCATTTGAAAAAACCTAAATTGCTGGAATTCGTCGAGTCAAACAATAAAAGTGGAATCGTGATAACTTGCCTTATAAATTAATAAAACTTTTTGACTCACGAATAATCTGGATCACGGTATGGTTTTGATGAAAAACAAATTCAATTGTCATTGCCAATCTTTCGACTTATTTTGGTCTTTGTCAGATCAAAACCATCTTAAATTTATCTACAAATTGACGTAATGTATTTTTTAATAGCAAATTTCAAATTTCTTAGAAGCACGACTAAGTCCCAACATTGCCAAGGATTGTAACATTAATGAACTTAAGATATTAGAACTCAAGAATCTATCTAAAGCATGGACGAAGGACGAATGACCGACAGTTTTAAGATTTACACTGAACTGAAACAAGGTTTTCTTCCGTCACCGATATTGTTCTCAACATCCCTGAATAACTTGCACGACTTTCTAGAAGGAGCGATTTACATCGAAGATTTTTGTGTTTGCCAATGACATTTTTATATTAGACCCTGTAAAAAATTATAAATAGTCTACAAGTTTGCTAAGAAAAAAAATGAGCGTTTGACGTGAAAGCAATAGAAGTAGCAGAATATAAGCATGTATGGTTGATACTGACTCAAAATACACGACATTTTTAGGAAAATGCTATTATGTACTTCTCCATTTAGAATTTGCTGTGTTTGGAACATAATATTCCAGCCTACTGCTAGATCAACACTAAGAAATAAAAGTAAAGTAATTCCTGTGATACAAGAGAGCTTAACATAACTCGTTGGGTGTCGTGGACCAAGGTTCAAACTGCTTTACAATAATTTCTCCATATTATTCACAATTAAAAGTCCAAGGGCAATGCCGGGATTAGAACTTACGACCACTAGACAATACGAGGGACGCCCTAACCATTCGGCCAACATAGCGGGATTCGAACCCACGACCTTCGGCTAGATACGCCGCTGCTCTACCACTTGAGCTATCGTGACTTCGATCCACTCGGACACTAACTTCCCATCTCAACCCCAACTTTTGAATTTTCCCTCCTTTTTGCAATTTCTCGATGGCTCAAGTGGTAGAGCAGCGGCGTATCTAGCCCAAGGTCGTGGGTTCGAATCCCGCTCGTGATACTGACTTCTTTATCTAAACTAAAAACCTAAATTAATTGAAAAATATTAATTGGTCAAGCGAACCACGAAAACTAGTGAATTTACTCAGAGAGTTGCAGCGATGACCATTCGTAGAACGAATTTTCATTATGCGATAGCTGTAGTCTGCACTTTATTAGTATCATATTAGAGGTTTACCGCAGTTAAAGTATAGCTTAATATGGACCAAAGAAAGACATAGCACTTTACAATCTGTCAGAAATTGGCACGTTTCGCTTTATTGCCAAATTGTCCAATATTAAAAGATTATCGCAGATAAGGTTTAAGAATCCAAAATTAAATTAGAACGAATTTTTGGAAAATAATCGCAGAAATTATTTCAGTACAGGATGAGGACAATGAAATTCAAAAAGTATTTGGTAAATGTATTAAATCATTACTATTTATTATATGGATTTATTTTGGTTTACGAAAATAGATTCATGCATATGTATTATGTAATGAAATAACTAGATAAGCGTAGACGTTCTCATGGCAAAACAGTTAAACAAGAAAATAAAATCCGTCAACAGGTCTCGATTATCTTTTAGTTATTCATCCAAACAGTAATTATTTAAACAATAATTTATATTAATTAAACTGATAATTCGTTTCTATCTAGTTATTGAGAAAAATTATCGTTACGTTTTACAATGCAACGATAATCATCTATTATGAGTTACTGAGTCACTTCCAAAACCTCACCACTGACAAGTCGAAAAATAATTATGTGCAAAACTAAAATGAAATAAAATTTCCTTACTAAGACAAGGCTTCCTGAACTTCCCGTTGAGTTTATTTTTGATGGGATTCCAGCCCAGAAGGAAAAGGGGATTGTGCCTGGTTTTATCTCTATTTTGCATAACTGGTTCTCGGTCAGCTCGAGCTATGACTTCCTCGGATAAAAATCCATTTACGGAGCCGAACCACCGCACCGACCGTGCAAGATGCGTTAAAACGATCCGTGAAAAAGACTTTTTATGAAGAGTAATTTTCTTGTTGATCGTACGATTCGCTTTGAAAAGGGCCACCGCATTGACAGTAAGTGATTTGCCATGATCATTAATATTAAATAAATGTTAATTGTTTTAATATTTATTTAATATTAAAAAATTTAGTATTTCACAGCTTCCCAACAGGGAAGTATTGTGATTATTGGCCCTAATTGACACAATTTCATTAAAAGCAATCATTTTTATTCCTGCATTATATAAATTTTTCATGTACACTTAATGTCCTTGAGCTATGAACGTCCCGAGGAGCTTGAGAAAATTTTAAGATTCGTCATAACTGTTCTGTTTGTCTAATGATTCACAGATCTACTTTCTGCGCTTGGTTAGGATAAATACATTGTTTACTTTCCCTCTGAGGCCCTATTTCACTAAGTTGGTTTAAACTCAGTTCAGTACTGAACCATTCAACTCACCAAATTTTTTTTTTTTCAATTTGTCTTGAACCGAGTTCAAATGATGATCCTAGTTCAACTTTGAATGGCCGTTGAGCGTAGGTTAAACGAAGATGAATGAAATCCTTTTCATAATAATAATAAAACCTGTATGTTATTAAACCAATGTCAACTATGAATAAGTTGCTATAACCGTACAAAGAGGTTACAATCAATACTATGAATTTATGGTTGAATTAGGATCAGTTGAACGTGCCCTATGCTCCCGTTTCTGAACTTGGTTCAAATTTTGAACGACATAAGGCTGCCTTTTCTTAGGTACAAGGTAAATGTTTTGTCAAACGGTTCAAAGAAGAGATTATTCTGTATAGTAGCTACAGAAATAATAAACCATGAACCATAACAAATCTAACAATAATATGCAATCGGAAGAAAGGGCGAAGAAATGGAAAAAAAGCTGTGAATTTATTGTGAGATTTTTTCTTGGGGTGTGGGGGGAGATGAACATGTAACTTCGTCGTTTCTGATCATTTTGACCACCCTCGCACTTTTGTCAGAAGAATGTCAGACGAATTTAGGCTTGGCAATGTTGGCCCATGGACATCGAAGCACTGATTGACGACTTCTGATTACTGAATTATATAAGCTCGAATCTAACATAAATGTACTTATGCACACACTGGTACAAAGTTGAACACCGGCAATTACAGTTTTTGTACCTTACAATGAGTCCCAAAATCACCCACCCCAGGTGCTGGCATTCCGGGATCAGACCTTGGTCTCATCCGGCCAGCCACTAGGGGTGGCCCCGGGTGCCATCAACAGCTAGGTCATTTGAGCCCACGACGCAATCCGTTCTTACATCACGCTAAAAATTCATTCACCCTCAACAGAAGCTAGGGTCACAAACTATCATTACTACATACAATAAAACAACCATGTTTCTTCCAAGAATCTATAGGGGACTGACCCAGATAATCGCTGCCATACTCAGGTATAATTTTCGGATGGTATTCCTACGC